CAACCACTCCTTTTTTCTTTTGTTTTTTGTCTTTTTTTAAATTCTGAGCCAGCTTTAGCTCTGAGGCTTGGCTCCAGCTCTGAGGCCTCCGCTGCTGAAAGTAGGTTTCTGGTTTGTTTCGATTCTATAATCGAAACTCTGTATCAACTCCAGCTCTGAGATCCCAGCCGGCTGGTTACTGGTGTTTTGTTTAGCTTCTATTTTTATTACAATGTTCAAACTGCAGGCTCAGAGGCCGGCAAGGCAGGCGGGGAACGTTGGAGTCCTCCGTCACTGAAGCAAGCAAGCCTCATGTTCAGTTTAAGCTGCCTGGCTGCCGGCCGCCATCTTGGCCGGAAGTTAATTTGCATATCTCGCTGATTAGCCAATGGGAAGGGTGGCGGTCGTATGCCAATTACCATGTTTCTCTGTTATTAGATAGGATTATAGACTTCATGCTGTTCATTACATACCCAAGACTTTTTTATATCTGGAAGTTTGTACTTTCTGGTACATTTCACCCACCTTCACCAAAATGGTAAATTTTATGTTATGTATATTTTATCACAATTAAAAAAAACAACAACATCTCAGAAGCCCCACAGTAGACCTCACATTTCATAGGCCAGAATTCTGCCACCTGCCCATTAACAAACCAATAGAAATAGCAACAATAATAAAATTAATATGATTGGCTTGGTCTAGTTAAGATTCACTCCCCTGTGACTGGGGAGGCCCAGGCTTTCCTGAAGCACATGGCTTCCCAGTACTTGAACAAAACTTGGGTTCTGTTAATGAGATAAAAGTAGATGGGGTTGGGGGGGGGGATGGCTACTTGGTAGGAAATGAGACCCTAGCAAGGTTATTCCCACTGAGGCAAGGAGGGACTTGATTCCCAAAGTTTTCTAAAGATTTATGTGAAGCTTACTGACTCTAACCCCCAGGAGTCCAGGGGGGGAATTAGAATGTTTCTCATATCTATCACTTGCCTTCCCACTCTTTGTAATGTACTCCCTCATCACCTCATATCTGACTGTACAGCAGTGTTCTGAGGGACTTGTCTACCTCTGGTTTTATTTCCACTTAGATCTGTCCTAAACACCATTAATTAACTTTACAGAACCTACATCTTACCTATATGTCCTGACTGGGAAACTTCCTACCAGGCTATCTAGAACCATTCATTCTTTTGTAATCCTTGATATTTTGTCTCCTTACTAGTATGCTCCTTATGACAAGGGTTTTGCCTTGCTCATCATTGTATTCTCAATACCAGGAATAGTGCTGATCATTCCTAGGTTTTATCCATTCAATTGGTATTTATGGTGAATAAATATTGAACAAGTAAAGAAATTATTCAAGAAATAAATAAATCCAACCCCTTGATTTATCAATTTAAATGCTGTTTTTCTTTTTCTTACATGAATCTTATGCTGAAGACATACCCACACAATTTTCCCTAACCATTATTTACCTTGCCACCTCTATAATTTTGCCCACACAATTATTCCAGTTTGTTACACCTTTCTCTTTACTTTCTGATAACTAGAGACTTACTTTTCCTTTAAGGCAAAGCCCAAATCCTACTTTCAATGTGAGCGTTTCTGAATTACACAAGGCTTCAGTGACCTGCTCTCATCTATTATTTTCATGGTCTGTACCTATTTAGCACACATTTTATACATATTTTCTTTTTAAAATTTTTTTATTGATTTCAGAAAGGAAGGGAGAGAGAGATAGAAACATCAATGATGAGAGAAAATCATTGACCAGCTGCCTCCTGCACACCCCATACTGGGGACTGAGCCCACAACCCAGGCATGTGCCCTGACCAGGAATCGAGCCCTGACCTCCTTGTTCATCCTAACTGGGAATCAAACAGCAACCTGTGTGCACAGGAGGACACTCAACCAACTGAGCCACACCAGCCAGGGCCACATTTTTAAAGTAAAGTCCTAACCTAATACTAGAAGCTCTCAATAAATGGTCTGGGGCTTTCTTTAACCCTAATTTAGGTGATAATTGAATAATGTTAAAATTTGAGTTATATTTCCATCAAACTTAATCCTAGTATATGTCTACCTTTGTGTATCCATATATACATTTACCAGAACATACTTACTAGAACCACAATTACATCTGTTTTTTGTGCTTTGTTGATGTACTACAGCTCATTTTTCAGAGGCAAACATCATAGTGAATTCCAAGACACCTGCGTCCACACGATCATTTCTTTGAAACTATATTTGGATGTACAAGCTATTAAAAGCTTCTTGTACTGAGTGACCTTTCAGGCAGAATTCAGATCTAATACGCTGGTGGTGCCTGTTGCTGAGTGGAAGACAGCAGGAAATCCTGGATTCAAACCTCTATTGGGTTTTTGTTTTGCTTTTGTTTCCTTTCATTTTGCCTTAAGAAGATGAACAATGAAACCGCAACCCTGATATCCTTGAAAGAGACGATGAAAAGGTCGCTAAGGGCTACAGGGAGGGAGCAAGTATAGGCCTTCTTTACTGGGAAGGTGGGTTAAAGAAGTATAAGGATTAAAAATAGGCAAAGAACTATAGACATGCCAATTAGACTTCTATGTCTGTTAAAGTGGTTTAAGTCTTCCAGGTTAAAAGAAATATGTAAGTTAATAATAAAGAAAAATGTACTCCCAGGTACAAGAATTCCATTAAATTAGTGCAGGTGCTATATGGTAGGTAAAAAATAAATGAAATGTGGTTTCTGCTCTGATGGTACAGCCTGTAGGGATAACAAGAGTATTCAAAAATACTTAAAATTTACTGTGATTGGCCATATAATGGTCATGTTCTGAAAGGCTATAAAGAGAGGATCAATTAATTTTGTCTTTTATTCTAGGAAAAGGAATTCTTCATAGAGAACATTTAAGCTAGATCTTAAAGTGTGAGTAAGAGTTTATAAGAAAAATATGGAAGGGAACTCTAGACTGGAGAAGCCGTATATGTAAGCCATATAAGCTTGGAATCGCATACCGTATTCAGTCAGTAGCTAGATGTCTCAATGATTGGTGGCTAGGCTGTGAGAGGAGTGGCAAAAATGGGAGCACAGGGTAAAGGACTTTATGTTTCCTCCTGAGGAGATACAGCTTGGATCTAACAGTATCACTGGGCAAGTCACGGTGGCATAAAAAGTTGAAGGACTTCTCCTCCCCTTACTCCAACCCCCTATAAAACCTCTCTCCACACAGAGTTTGCTCTCTCTCTGCCACCTGCTGCTGTGCCAGTAAGCGGGGGCAGGGGAGCCAAACCTAGGTTTGAAATAAATGACTCTTTGCTTTTGAAAAAAAAAAAAAGTTGAAGGACATGATCGGAAGTGTGTTTCAGGAGCATATTTCGGGAGGATGGATTGGATGTTGCAGAAATTGATAGCAGGGATCCAGCTAGGCTGATTACAGGTCTCTCTTCCTCTCCCTCACTTCCCCCTCTCTAAAAAAAAAAGTACAAGAAAAAGACTCTGAACCCCTCCCTCCAAGAGCGTACAATTTTGTTTATGAAAAACTAACTCAAAATAAAGCAGTAGGTGGCAGTGACAGGTGATAGAGGTAGTCCTTGTGAGAATAAAGTATGCAGGGAGGAGATCTTCAGGTAGACAGTCTGGGGATTCAAGCAGGCAGTGGACTTTGAGCTTATCCTTAAAGGAAGGATAGGATTCAAACAGAATCGGGTAGAGAAAGCAGTCTTATTAAATACTGGTTCCAGCACTAGCTAACTATATGACATTAGGTCTCAATCTTTTTAAAAAATATATTTTCATTGATTTCAGAGAAGAAGGAGAGGGAGAAAGAGCTAGAAACATCAATGATGAGAGAGAATCATCGATCAGCTGCCTCCTGCACACCCCCCACTGGGGATTGAGCCTGCAACCCGAGCATGTGCCCTGACTGGGAATCCAACTGTGACTGCCTGGCTCAGAGGTCGACATTCAACTACTGAGCCACACTGGCCAGGGAGGTCTCAATCTTTTTGATATTTAATATCTTTATCTGTAAAATAGTAGAAATGACTATTTCACTTCTTATGGTGGTTGTGAGACTCAAAGTAATGCTTGTATAAAATACTATTTTTTTCTTTTTTAAAAAAAGATATGTTTGTATTGATTTTAGAGAGAGAAGAATGGAGAGAGAGAAACATTGATTGGCTGCTCCTACTGCCCATCACCAGGTATTGAGCCCCCAACCAAGGCATGTGCCCTGATCGGGAATTGAACCAGCGACCCTATGGTGCATGGGACAAGGCTCAACCAACTGAGCTACTCCAGCCAAGGGCTGTATAAAATACTTTTAATATATATATATATATATTATTGATTTTTTTACAGAGAGGAAGGGAGAGAGATAGAGAGAGAAACATGGATCAGCTGCCTCCTACACACCCCCTACTGGGGATGTGCCCGCAACCAAGGTACATGCCTTTGACCAGAATCGAACCTGGGACTCTTCAGTCCACAGGCCGACGCTCTAGCCACTGAGCCAAACTGGTCAGGGCTATAAAATACTTTTTAAAGTCTAAAGTACAATACAAAGATAAAACAGGACAAATGAACTCAAGTAGACAATTCAAAAGTTTGGCAATATAAGGAATGCAAGAACTAGGATGATGGATAGAGAGAATGGCAAATAGCTACCCAACTTGGGTAGTGGTTGTAAATAATACATTCTCATCTTAGGCAACACCTTAATTTTGTTCCCTGACTTGAACCAACCCCCTGATTCTTTTACCCTATAGAGTAGACCACAAACTCCAAGCTTTAGAAGCACAGTTTAAAGAACTGGACTTGACCAAGGATAATCTGACACAGAAATTTGAACATCATAGCAAAATGCTGGCAAGCCAGGCAGCCCAAGATGAGCTGTGGACAGCAGTTCTGGCACTCAAGTGAGTATTCAGTGAGAAATCAAGTGGAATTTTGTGGCATTGTGAGAATGGCACGGTCATTCTAAAACTGAATTTCTTAATGTGGTTCCAGCAATGGATTGTGAAGAAACCACATATTCATAGGTTCATTTATTCCAAAAATATTAATTTGAGTACCTGTTTATATGCCAGGCACTGCAGTACTCATCAACAGTTTCTTGCTTGCCAAAATCTTACTAACACAGAGATGGATAATATATCTCCTCTGCCATTGAGAAACTTATAGTATGGGTGGCTGGAGAACTTAGGTATCCAGTTTAGCACAGGTCTGATTTCTAAAGTGTTTTCTAAAATACAACAGCTGGTTCTCCTAGTGGGTTTGCACTTCTTGGAGCTATCCTAATAGAACTTATTTATATTTGAACACAAAGTATTCTTCTGCTTTAGAAGCTCTCCCTTCTTTGTAGGTTCACTTCAATGGAATTAAATATTATATACAGCTATGTCGTGGAAGTACTCATCTACTTGCACACTCATGTGCTTGAGAAGCTGCCAGACCTGGTGAGAAGTCTTCCTACCTTAGCCTCCGTCCTTAGAAGAAAACTCAATAACAAGCGCATTAGAGTCGCATGGGAATCTGTCCTGGAGGAGTGTGGGCTGCAAGAAAGAGATACCACAGCACTTTGTACCTTCTTTATTGCGCATGGTAACAAGGCAGAACACTACAGTGCCAAAGTGAGACAGATGTACATCAGGGATGTCACTTTTATGATCACCAACATGGTAAAGAACCAGGCTCTGCAGAATGCTTTGCTGATGGCTGTCCAGCTCATTGAGAAGGGGAAAGCAGTGACAGCCCCTGAAGAGAAAAAGTCATCCCTAAAAGAGTTGATGCCAATTGTCAAAAACTAACCTGTTCCCTTATGACATAGCAATTCCACTTCCAGTAATTCATCTTGTAAATGGGAAAAAAATATGTATATACAATTTTGCTATGGACTTACGGTATTTTTATTATAGCAAAAGTTGGGAGAGTATTAGAGAAATTATGATAAATTGATACAATGGATATTTCTGTATAGTGATATAAAAGAATGAAGAAGCTCTTTGGGTTTGGTTCAATAGATAGAGCGTCTGCCTGTGGACTGAAGGGTCCCAGGTTTGATTCCAGCCAAGGGCACATGCCTAGGTTGTGGGCTCGATCCCCAGTAGGGGGCGTGCAGGAGATAGCCAATCAGTGATTCTCATCATTGATGTTTCTTCCTCTCTCTCCCTCTCCCTTCCTCTCTGAAATCAATAAAAATATATTTTAAAAGTAAAAATAAAATATGTATTTCCAAAATATATTGTTAAATGGAAAAAGGGACAAACACATATGTATATATACACATACATAAGCTAATATATCCGTAAACTTTATAAACTTCTTCTGGAGAGATACATAAGAATGTGAGAACATTGCCGAAACCGGTTTGGCTCAGTGGATAGAGCGTCGGCCTGCGGACCGAAAGGTCCCAGGTTCGATTCCGGTCAATGGCATGTACCTGGGTTGCAGGCACATCTCCAGTGGGGGATGTGCAGGAAGCAGCTGATCGATGTCTCTCTCTCATCGATGTTTCTGACTTTCTATCTCTCTCCCTTTCTCTCTGTGGAAAATCAATAAAATATATTTAAAAAAAAAAAGAATGTGAGAACATTGGTTGTCTTAAGGAAGAAAACTAAGAAGCTAGCGGGTCAAAGATAGGAGGAAATCTTGTTAATGCATATATACATTTTGAATCTTGAACCATGTAAAAGTATTATCTATTAAAAGACAAAACAATAAAAATCCCTTATATTATATATTGATGTACATTTTCTCTCTAGTACAGTATCACAGTTATTTATATCAGAAAGGGAATTCACACACATTGGCCATATATCTATGACATTTATTGAACACCAAATGCCATGCGCTAGGTGCTGCAACAAAAACATTTAAAAATGTGGGTCCTGCCCTAGCCGGTTTGGCTCAGTGGATAGAGTGTAGGCCTGCGGACCAAAGGGGCCCAGGTTCAATTCCGGTCAAGAGCACATACCTTGGTTTCAAACTCCTACCCAGCCTGGGCCCTGGTCAGGGTTTGCAACCAATCGATGTGTTTCTCTCACATCCATGTTTCTCTCTATCTTTCCCTCTCTCTTCCATTCTCTATAAAAAATCAATGGAAAAATATCCTTGGGTGAGGATTAACAACAACAACAAAAAGTGTGGGTCCTGTCCTCCAGGTAAATGTTAACTGCTGATGCTTTTTTTGGGAGGTACAAATTCAGGACAGTGAGAATCCAGTAACACTCTGGAAGGATGCTAGGTAGAGAAAGATAAGTAATACAAGGTGATATGTTACCTTGCTGGCCCCTCCTTGAAAATGAGCCACAAGAGATACAGCAGGTTGCTTGGCAGATATATCTGCTCAATCTGGTCCTTCTCGAAACACATCGTTTGAAGGAACCATGCCTTGGAAAAAAGAAAATTTCTATGTTTTCAATTGGCCAAAGTTTGCTCCATGAGAGTGACACCCCATACTTCCAGGATGCATCATCTAAGCCCTCCCAGCAGTCACAGGCCAGTCAGAGCCTGCATTGTTCAGTGAAGTGTTTCACAGGAGTTCAAAAGTGGCAGGAGGAGACAGATTTCAAGAATGTCCCTCAGGCAGACCGAGGGACAAGGCCAAGGAAATCTGAAGAAGCATATAAAATGTATCCATTACAGACGATTTCTAAAAATAGAAATCAAATTGCAAGAATTAAAAAAATTATTGACTTTTAGAGGAAGGAAAAGAAAAACATTGATCTGTTATTCTACTTATTTATGCATTCATTGGTTGATTCTTATATGTGCCCTGAACAGGGTTGAACATATAACCTTGGGATATCGAGTCAATGTTCTAACCAACTGAGCTACTCAGCCAGGGCTCAAAATGCACAAATTAAATAAAACTATGACATAAACTATCACTAGGGGATATATTGATACCATAAAGGGAACCTGTCCCTGAGTGGGTCTGTCTAGGGCTGACCGGTAGTGTGTGGGTTTTTGACTTCGCGCAGGAAAATTTCACAACACAAGTTCAGATGACTATGGGAGCGTTTATTAGAGCCGGGGACAGTGAGACAAGAAAGGGCTTACTATAGAAGAAGCAACAGGAGAGCATAGGCTGGGCTGCCTTAGCTTTCTGGGAAGTCAGAGAAAAGGGGGCCTTGGGAACAGGTTCAAGGGGACTAGCCTCCAATGAGCTGCTGCTGCCCAAAGCTCCTCAGGTTGCAAGTCTCGTGGGGTCCCTTAGAGTTTAGGAGGTGCATGCCTATGGGGGAAAGTAGGGAAGAAAAGGGGAAATGGAATGATGGGGGCTGCTCTGGGTCCTTTGTGTTGTGTGTGTTTTTTTTTTTAAGATATATTTTTATTTATTTCAGAGAGGAAGGGGGAGGGAGAGAGAGAGAGAAACATCAATGATGATAGAGAATCATTGATCAGCTGCCTCCTGCACACCCACTACTGGGGATCGGGCCTGCAACCCAGGCGTGTGTCCTTGAGTGGAATTTAATCCAGGGCCCTTCAGTCCTCAGGCCGAATCTCTATCCACTGAGCCAAACCGGCTAGGGCCTTTGTCTCTCTTTTAAATTTTTTTTATTTCAGAGATGAAAGGAGAGGGAGAGAGAGATAGAAACATCAATAATGAGAGAGAATAATTGATCAACTGCCAAACTCCCCTCTCAGGATTAAGCCCGAAACTGGGGCATGTCCTGACCTAACCGTGACCTCCTAATTCATAGGTTGAGGCTTAACCACTGAGACACACTTGTCCAGCTGGGTCCTTCGTGTTGAGGCTTTCTCTCTTTCTCAAAGGTGATGGCCAGAATCTTAGGGGAGATCTCAGGGGAGGGTTTCAGTAGAATATTAATTTTCTAGGTGTGCTCCTCCAGAGCTGTGGTCTTCACTGATTGGTCAATGTCAGGGAATCACAGCCCACCTGGTTTTGCTGCTTTTTTGGGTCTGGAGCTGAAATACAACTGAGGCCTAGATGTTATTTTTATGGATCTGCTGTAAATTGCTCTACTAGTTTATTTAGCTATCTGTCTCAATTTCCCTATTCCATTTGTCCTGGCTTACTGGCCTGTCTCAATATGATTGGATGACTTCAGAGGAGGGATATCACTTTGTGATGGAGAAACGCTTCCTGGAAAAGTACATTGAGTTGATCCTTGAAGTAGGCAAACCAGAAACCGACTCATTTAGGATGAACTGAGAAAGCAATGACCTGAAAGCACAAGATGACAGCAAACAGAGAATAGCTGAATGTTTCAAAGCATAATGGAAGATTCCATGGGAAAAGTAGGTTGAAACCCTATTAGGGAGCTGGAATTCTGGGTTAATGGATTGATACAATGGACAATTAGATGGCAACAAAGGTTTCTGAACCCATATTAAAACAAGACAAGCCCCAGCTGGTTTGGCTCAGTGGATAGAGCGTCGGCCTGCGGACTGAAGGGTCCCGGGTTTGATTCCAGTCAAGGGCACATGCCTGTGTCGTGGGCTTGATCCCCAGTGTGGGGCATGCAGGAGGCAGCTGATCAATGAGTCTCTCTCATCATTAATGTTTCTCTCTCTCTTCCTCTCTGAAACCAATAAAAAATATAATTTAAAAAAGATTCATTAAAAAAAAACACCTTTTACCAAAGACCTACAGTACCTGCTTGTTTTGGCTCCCTCTGTTACAGCCTGGAACCGCACCAGGTGTTAGCCCAGACCTGGGTTCATCAACCTCAGTGCTTGAGTTCTGGCTAGGAAAGAATTCAGAGGCAAGATTCAAACATTAAGAGAACATGTTTTGGAAAATCACGGAGGTAGAAGTAATTAGTAGAAATGGGCTTAGGAACGAATTATAGAGGCAAAGGAAGGGCCTTTGAAGCTTTGAAGTGAGGAAGGTAAAGGTGACTTGCCTGAGGGGGGGGGCAGAGGCAAGATTCAAACATTAAGAGAACATGTTTTGGAAAATCACGGAGGTAGAAGTAATTAGTAGAAATGGGCTTAGGAACGAATTATAGAGGCAAAGGAAGGGCCTTTGAAGCTTAGAAGTGAGGAAGGTAAAGGTGACTTGCCTGAGGGTGGGGGTGGGGGTCGGGGTGGGAGATGATAGGGAAAGGGGCTGGCATGATCCAGGAAGGGATTGCTGGCTGGCGTGCTCCTCCTACGGGTTTTAAGGGTGGAAATCTTAGGGAGGTCCCAGGGGAGGATTTCAATAGAATATTCATCAGCTTTCCAGGTGTGTCCTTTCAAGGGCTAGGTCTCCACTGATTGATTGGTCAGTGCCAGGGCAGCAGGTTATTATTCAATGCAGCTGGTCCTAAGATCAGCCATGGTGCTGCTTCTCTGGTTTTGCTGCTTTTCTTGGTCCTGGAGCTAAAATCCAACTGAGGCCTAGATGTTATTTCTAGAGAGGAAAGGTCAGAGGGTCTAAACCGAATGACCAGTGATATGAAAGGTCAGGGAGGTCTAAACTGCATGCTAGGGAATGAGGTCCCACCCTACAATTGTCCCTTCCTAGGCACCCAGAGCTTTCCACTCTGGTGACCTACTTACTGTACCTGGCCCATCTCCTTTCTCTGCTCCTGTCTAACTGCCAACCACAGGACCAGTTGTCAGCACAAGAACTTAATGCCAAGATGTTGAACTATTTTGCCTTTGGCCTCCTAATAATTTTGATTGTTCTAGGTTGATTTAATAATAAAATACTATATTATATATGATGCACACCACTGCTGAGTCTCAGGATAGAAGCAGCCTTGCGGCCGGCAATCCTAGAAGAACCTACCTATGAAAGGCAAATCTGATAAGGGGCTGGGCTACGGAGGGGATAGTAAGTGCTTCTATAAATTATACAAGTTTGCAGATTCTCTGATCACAACCTTTCCCCAAGATCAACCTCAGAGCTGCTTTTCTAAAAACTTTGGATAGTTGACTCAGTGGATGGAGCGTTGGCCTGCGGACTGAAGGGTCCCAGGTTCGATTCCGGTCAAGGGCATGGACCTTGGTTGCAGGCACATCCCCAGTGGGGGGTGTGCAGGAGGCAGCTGATCGATGTTTCTAACTCTCTATCCCTCTCCCTTCTTCTCTGTAAAAATCAATAAACTATATTTTAAAAACTGCGGATAACAATCTAAGAGGCTTAGTTACAAATTAACAGAAACAGAAAAGTAGTTTGAAGAGTACGGGAAGAAACTTTAAAATTTGTTTGGAGGTTCCCCTTTTCTGACCACAGACGATAATGCTCCCTTTCCCCGCAGCCTCCTAGAGCAGAAAAATGCAGGGGAAATGCGGACTCCCCCAAGCGGAAGTAGGAGGGGCTAAGAGGCTGAAGCAGCGACTTCTCCCGCCTGGTGGAGCGAGATGGGCGCGCTCCAGCCCCGGAAGTCCCGCCTTGCACAGCGTTCCTGGCCTCTGCCATTGGGCGGCTCCTGGGAGGGCGGGGCCCCTTTCGGCGGGCAGTTGTGACGTCACCAGCCCTTGTCGGGTTGCTGCGGCACCACCGATGGGATGTAGCTATTTAGCTGCCTCTAGCGAGGGGAGACGCGGCCTCCGAGCGCCCCAGATGCCGGAAAGCTGGGACGCGGGGGTTCGCGCGCTGACCCCGCAGCGATGGTGAAACGGAAGTCCTCCAGCGGAGCCAGAAGTCCCCGCGGAAGCAGGGTCCTTTCCGGGACGGTGGCCCCGAGGCTGCTGCCTGGACGGCGGCGGGAGCATCCTCACCTGGTAAGCGGGAGGAGGGGACCTGTCACACGCTTGCCCCCTCGCCCGAGGGCGGGAGTCCCCCGGCTGCGCTGCGGAAGTAGTTACATTAAAACCTCTGGACGGACTCGTTCATTTATTTTCTTACCAGACGTTTGGCTTAAACAGGGACAAACACAGCCTTCAGGGTAGTGTTGCTTACCTGGCCCGCAGAGCGCCTTTGGCTTCAGGACGTGTTTGATGCTAACAGCCTGTGAATCCTGATACGCTGCTGGGCATAATATTCAAACACAAAACTGTTCGTTTCATTTCCCCTTGGTTGGGCCGGAAATACTCTTCTTTGTCTTTCGGGCGTTGATGTTGACTATGTCTTTTTAGCATATTAAAATGGCTGTACCTCAAGATGCCATCCCTTCCTTGTCGGAATGCCAGTGCGGGATCTGCATGGAAATCTTCATGGAGCCGGTGACACTGCCCTGTAACCACACGCTCTGTAATGCATGCTTCCAGTCGACTGTGGAGAAGGCGAACCTATGCTGTCCCTTCTGTCGGCGTCGGGTCTCTTCGTGGACCCGGTATCACACTCGAAGAAATTCTCTCATCAATAAGGAACTGTGGGAGGTAATTCAGAAACACTACCCAAAGGAATGCAAGCTTAGAGCCTCTGGGCAAGAATTAGAAGACACCGGTGAGTAAAACCCAGCGTGTTTGTTGACGAAAACAAAATCCTTTTAAAAATGAATAAAAAGGCCTAGCCGGTTTGGCTCAGTGGATAGAGCGTCGGTCTGTGGACTGAAGGATACCGGGTTCGATTCCGGTCAAGGGCATGTACCTTGGTTTCGGGCACATCCCCAGTAGGGAGTGTGCAGGAGGCAGCTGATCAATGTTTCTCTCTCATCGATGTTTCTAACTCTCTGTCCCTCTCCCTCTCCCTTCCTCTCTGTAAAAAATCAATGAAATATAAAAAAATATTTAAAAAAATAAAATAAATTATTGCTAATCCATTTTTTAAAGGATTAAAAAAAGAGCTAAATTATTTAGTGGGGGTAAAGTCAGAGACAAGATTTCGTTCATTGTTATAATACTCAGGCTGCTGTTCAGTTAGTGTTTGTTGGGTTAAAAATGAAAAAAAAATAAAACAAGAATTTGAGTCTTCATTCTTATGAAAAGTTGTATAAATATTCAGATGAGCAATAGTGGTAGTATAGCAACAGCAGAAATAAGGAAAAATACTATTTCTTTTACTTTCAATTACTTTCTCTAACTTACTTGCTTATACTTCTCCATCTTAATCGTGCAATGATTGATCCTAAACTAGCTTTCTTCGACCAGTTCCCTCTGGTTAAGCCGTATCTATGCAAAGTCCTCCACAGTGTGGACTCAGCAGCTATTGAGAATGACCCAAACGGAACACTTTGTAGCATCTTGATCACTTATGTGGATCAATAAGCTATGAAAATGTTTTTTTTGTCTTAAATGTGGTGTCTCTGCTCTGGTGTGCTTGCCTTTTTTCAGTCTGTGGGTTGACATTCTATCCACTGAGCCAAATCAGTTAGGGTGACATGTTCTCTTTAATTTTTTTTCCAATTACAGTTTATATTCAGTATTATTTTGTATTAGTTTCAGGTGTACAGCATAGTGTTTAGACAATCATATATTTTACAGGGTTTCCCTAATATTTCCAGTACCCACCTAGCACTATATATAGTTATTACACAATTATTGACTGTACACAATTATTGACTGTATTTCCTATGCTGTATTTTACATCCTCATTACTATTTTGTAATTACCAATATTATCAATCAACTTCTCAATTCCTTCACCTTTTTTGAGAATTCTTTGATTTAAAAAAAAATATGTTTTATTGATTTCAGAGAGAGAGGAAGAGAGAGAGTATTCGAGAGGTAGAAACATCAATGAGAGAGAAATATTAATCACCTGCCTCCTGCATGCCCCTCTACTGGGGATGGAGTCCACATCCAGGTGTGTTCCCTGATGGGAAAATCGAACCGTGACCTCCTGGTGCATAAGTCAGTGCTCAGCTACTGAACCACACCAGCCAGGCTGTACCACGCTTTTTTATCCACCTAACTATTGGAAATAACATTTCAGTGAACATAGGGATGCATATATTTTGAATTAGTGTTTTATGTTTCTTCAGAGATAAACTAGAAGTGGAATCACTGGGGCATAAGGCCATTCCTTTTTTTTTTTTTTTTTAATTTTAGAGAGAAACATGAATTCAAGAGCAAAACATCCATCGGCAGCCTGTACACACACTCCCTACCAGGGATCAAGTTTGCAACCCCGGGCATGTGCCCTGACTGGCAGCCTTTTAGTGCACAGGATGATGCCCAACTGAGCGACACTGGCCAGGGCAAGGCCCTTCCATTTTTTAATTTTTTTGAGGAGCCTCTATACTGTTTTCCATAGTGGCTGCAACAACCTGCATTCCCACTACCACTGCATGAGGGCTCCCTTTTCTTCACATCCTCACCAACACTCGTATTTGTGGATTTATTGATGAAAGCCATTCTGACAGATATGAGGTGATACCTCATTTGATTTTAATTTGCATTTCTCTGACGATTACTGACATTGAGCATCTTTCCATACGTCTGTTCCACACGTTTTTCTTAGTCCATGGTGTTCCTTGGCTTGCAGTTGCATAATCCCAATCTCTGCCTCCAAGTCACATGGCCTATCCCAGTGTGTCTCTGTCTTTACATAGTCATCTTCCTGTCTCTGCTGTCTTATGAGGACACCAATGATACTGGATTAAGGGCCCACTCTACTCCAGTATGAAGTCAACCTAATTACATCTACAACAACTGTTTCCAATTAAGGTCACATTCTTAGGTGCAGGGTGTTAGGACTTCTATATTCAACTCCTAACAGCAGTCATGCTGTGTGTATTCTTTTGTGCAAGGTTCTTTTACTCAGTGCAAAGTTCAGGATTCATCCTTAGGTTATGGGTATTGCTAGTTTATTAATTTTTTTATTTTTAAATATCATTCTGTTTGTAGTATACTTGGTTGGCTGTTCTCCAGTTGATGGCACCTCAGGTATTTTCATAAAGTTGCTATGAAGATTCTTGTACAAGTTTTTTTGTGGTCATATGTTTTCATTTTTTTCTTGTGTAGTACTTAGTGGAATGCTCAGTGATAGAGTAGATGTATGTTTGGTTGTATAAGAAGCTGTGAGATCATTTTCCAAAGTGGTTGTATTTTCTAATCCCAGCAAAATGTACAGTTGACCTTTGAACAACCTTTATTCAAGTTGACCCTTGCATAAGTGCATGGGTCCACTTATTTGCAGCTTTTTTTTAAAAAATAATACTTGTGCTGTTTCAGTCCGAGTTTGGGAGTCAGCTGATCTGGAGGGCCAATAGTATGCATTGCTCTATAGTATTTTATAGAGGGATGTAAACATCCTTTGTTTTTGGTATCCATGGGGTATCCTGGAACAAAGGGATGGAAGAATAATTTTCCACAAAATTTTACTTTTTTGTTGTTTACTGAGACCGTCTCCTAATCTCTTTGCTGTGTAGGATTACTTTCTTTGTATTCCTTTAATGGAGTCTAGAGAAAGATTTAAGTGTACATATTCATGTGGCATTTTGAACCTCTGGTTTTTCTCTTTTTTATTTATTTATTTTTTTGTTTTTTGTTTTAAGATGGAACTCCATAAAGTAGATATTGCTGTAGCTGTTAATAATTGTACATTTTATTTTAATTCTGCATTTTTATATTAATAGTTTTTTTTTTTAAAATATATCCATTGATTTCAGAAAGGAAGGGAGAAGGAAAGAGAGATAGAAACATCAATGATGAGAGAGAATCATTCATTGGCTGCCTCCTGCACATCCCCCACTGGGGATAAAGCCCGAAACCCAGGCATGTGCCCTTAGCTGGAATCGAACCTGGGACCCTTCAGTCCACAGGCCTGACGCTCTGTCCACTGAGCCAAACCAGCTAGGGCTATTAATACAGTTTTAATGGAAGACAAAGCTAGCCAAAAAAAATTTTGTGTTGCCTCTTATATTATTTTCTTTCTTAATCTGGAACAGTTGATGACTATCAGCCAGTTCACCTGTTAAGTAAACCTGGAGAATTGAGAAGAGAATATGAAGAGGAGATAAGCAAGGTAGGAATTAAATAGTTATTCTGTTTTTTGGAAAATTATCTGTTGTGTTTTCATTTTCACATTTTATATGTAGTTTTATGTGCTTATATAAATAGTATATATTGAAATGTAAATTTTAATGTACTGTACAAAGGCGCCATTTTTTATGTGTTCACAATAGTTACAAACTAGCTTTAATTTATTGGTGCTCTTATGTGATAGTTATTCCTAAGCATTCTCTTTTTCCTGAAACTTGGAGCTTAAAGGATAGAAATATTGTGGTAGATTATGGATGTTTTAGTCCATTAAGGATGCTACGACAAAAATACCATAGACTTAGCGGGCTTGAACAACAAATATTTCTTATAGTTCTGGAGGCTGGGAAATTCAAGATCCAAGGTATTTGTATTTGGTAGATCCAATCAGAGAAAAAGGAGAGAGAATCGATGCTATGATGGGGAACCAACTAGAAATTAAGCATACACTGACTGAAATAAAGAATATTATACAGACTCCCGACAGCAGACCAGAGGAGCGCAAGAATCAAGTCAATGATATGAAATCCGAGGAAGCAAAAAACACCCAACCGGAGGGGCGGAATGAAAAAAGAATCCAAAAATGCGAGGATAGTGTAAGGAGCCTCTGGGACAGCGTCAAG